TCTGAATAATTCACTGCAGTAATGTTCCTATTTTATCAGTGAGTTCTCCTAGTCCAGTGCAGTACCCATCAACACGAAGCTTGCCTGCAGTGGTTCATGACACCACTTGTGATGCAGGAGATTAAATGCTTGAGAATTGCACTGAGAAATGTTCAGAATGAAAAACTTCAGCTCCAGACAAAACTTGCAAAGAATCAGCTGGACAGTTTACAGCCGCTGAAGGTGAGAAACTGTTATTTTTGAACTTGTGTTAACGACCATACACAAAAGAAGAAATACTATGCAATATGCATTAGTGATACTGCAAAATGTAATGATTCCATAAAAATATGTGTACTAGTTATGTTGGTCATTGTCAATTGTCTGACGTAAGTAGGATGATTTTGCACTAACTCTATACACATGTGCAGTCATTTCTACATTTATGTGATAGATGCATGAAAAATTGTGTTAACAACATTAAACCAAAGTTAAGTTATGAGAGTCATTAATAAATTATTTGCACTTTCTAGCTGCAAATATGTGTGGTGGCAGTGATAGCGAATCTGTTGTTAGTAGCAACTTCAAAAATACTGAGAATGTTTTAATAGCTAAGGCACTGTTAAACACCTGCCTATTGGAACTGCTGCCAAAACATGATGATTTGTTTGAGTGGTACTGCTGATGGTGTGAATGTAAATGCTTCTAAATGTTGCTGTATATTCCTCTAAATTGTGGTCCTTAAATGTCAAGTGTGTGGATTAGATTAGGGATTATGATTTTTGTAAAGTGCCTTCTTTTTTAAGAAATGACCAGGTACTACATGTGGGATGGACTTTCATGTAGAGGCCCTTTGTGCATTATCTGAATTTCAGTCCCTGAAGTACATTTGCTAATGGTTTTATAGTCTTTCTGTGATTCTATTAGGTACTGTGCGTTACTGTAATCTTGAGACTTGCAAGGAATGCAGGAAGTCTGAAGCGGTAAAGGCAGACACTGTCTTTCTTCCTTCACCCCACAAATCTTAAGATTACAGTCGCGAACAGTATATTTGTTTGTATACTGCTTCAGATTTCGAAGAAGAAAATATTTTGCTGAGAATTGGAAGTTCCGAAGGAGTAAGATGACAAAGAAAACCAAGAGGAATCTAACTTGGACAATTTAAAAAAGAAAGCCTCAGCATTATATAGAGAAAGTTACTGATTATAATCAGCAGAGCCAGTACATTGGAATATTGCCACTTTCTTTTGTTTTTTTAGTTCATCCGTCATATGTTTTTAAAAAGTCAAAAATTCTCAAAACTTTATAAAATTACTGAATTTAAATGATGGATCCTCCGTTCAGTTCAGGGAAAATAGGTGGAGACACCTATGCTATTGTAGACTGAGCTATTCCTGATCTGTAGACCAAGTAATTTTAACAATGAAGTTTATATATTATCTCTTTCAGATACATTCACACACATTGCATTCTTATAAATGTCGCTAAGGTAATTAACTACAAGAAGCAGAGTTCTTTTTGAGAAGCTAATAGCCAGTCACTCATTTGAACAAAAAATTCCCTGCCTTTTATAGAAACTAAAGTTTGATCACCTTGTTAACCGTTAACCATAACCCACCACTGGGCCCTGTCCTTAGCCAGTTGAATCCAGTCCATGCCTTCCCAACCTATTTTTTAAGACTCATGTTAATATTAACCTGTCATTTGCATAAGGTCTCCCAAGTGGTCTCTTTCCTTAAGGTCTTCTAACATTTTGTTTGAATTTCTCATCTTCCCATGCTGCATGCCCTGCCTATCTTATCCTATTTTATTTCATCACTCTAATAATATTTGACAAAGAGTGAGAAATATCAAATTTCTCATATTGTCATTTTTCCCCTCTTTCTGCTACTTCATGGTTTTTTTTGGTCCAAATGTTCTCAAAACTCATTTGATCAAAGACTTTCTGTTTCTGGTCTTCTTTAGCATGATAGACCGATAGGGCTGTAGTTAAGATGGAGTGGTCTAGGGCGGGACCCTGATACTTTGTTTATTGCTGGGACATTGCCCATGCATACCCTCAGAATGTCTCTTTTTAAACTTTGAAAAATTATATAAAATAAAAGTCACAACTAATAAGTCCTTTAATTTCTCATCTCTCTGTTGGAGGCAAAGCATTAAGTGTGTGCATTTTGTGAGATGTTTCTATATTTAAATTCTGCATTTAAAAGTGTAAGTATACCATTAAGTAATGACCAGAACAGCTTTATATCAGGATTTGTGTCAATTTCTACCAACCAGGAACTGCATGCTAGACCACTTGAGACTTTAATTTGTAAGACTACATTGCTGGAAACCAATTATCATGCCCATATAAAAAACTGGCAAAATTATAGTTTTTGATTATTATTATTATGTTTTTTTATAGGAGACAGCAATGAATTGGAGAGACACATATGAGTAACCACTGACACTGTGCCTTTTATATTTCCAGGAAATATTTCCCGTGATGGTGACCCTAAAGTTGTTAACATCAGCTCGCGAGTTCCAGGCACTCCAGCATGGCTGGATAGATTGGCACCAGCAAATTATCTCATTCAGGAGGTGACTAAATTACAGGATTTGCAAAAGAGAGTTGAGAACTGCAGTATGACCTCTGAAACGTTGGTTAACATCGACCAGACTACACAGCGCAACAACCCAGAAGACGGAAATCTTCATACTCACCGCTCTGAAAACTTCAAATTCTACAAGATTTGAGTGAATTACCTGGATTGAAAACAATTTAATATCCCCAGAAATAAACTTTGTCACAATCCATTGTCATTTTCACTAGAGTGAATTTGTATTTGAAAATCTCTGTAGAGGGGGCTGGTAGATTAGACATCAGTCATATCTGTCTATGAATTTTTCTGCTCACAGATTGTTGCTTTCACTTCTGCCAAAGATAAAAACTTTGAGAATCGTAAGAATACTAGGCTCCTAGCATGATTTGGATCTCATGTCAGACTGCAGGTATTTGTGCTGACCATGATGCTCATGATCACCCTATCAGTCAGAGTATTGGAATTTTCTGTATGGTGTTTTCACCTCAGAAACAGATTCTGCCCCTTGCATAGTGCTTCGTGCTAATTTCATTGTGCTGTAGTTTCCGATCCTGGCTGTCCTTTCGTGGAGTTGCTTTCATAAATTATTCGAAGATTTTTAGGTTATGGATATGTTTGGTAGTGATGAGTGATAAACAGTGACCTGTGATTTTGTCACTGTGATCAGAAAATCACGATCACTGGAGTGGTTAAAGTGCTCACTAAACAGTGATCACACTGATTCTTAATTTCTTATGCATCCTAGCGAGAACACGGTAGACTTATTTTGACTGCTCAGAGAAATTTAGAGTCAGATCACAGTGATTCTCAGTAATTTCTTATGCATGCTAGTGAGAAAACGGGACACTACAGTATTTTGACAGCTCAGTTCTACTGTCTGTAAATATTAAATAAACGATTTCTATACATTTTGTTTCATTTAAAACTTGATTCTGTTTTATAATGTATATTAAATAAATTATATTGTCCATATCATCATACATGGAGCACACTCATAGCTGCCTATCTACAAAGTTGTGTTACATAATATATTATAGCCTAATTAATTTTTGTAAACCATGACTTCACGCAAGCAAATAAAAATAGATTAACAACGCAACAATGCAACATGTGGGAACCAAATTGAACCGTACGCCAGTGTGATGTGATCACGGCGATCACTATATAAGAACTTAAAACACAGGGGAGTATGTAAGACTTGAGGTTCTCACAGCGGTGAGTATGAAGATTTCTGTCTTCTGTGTTGTTGCGCTGTGTATTCTGGTCGATGTTAACCAACGTTTCAGAGGTCATACTGCCTCCGTCATCAG